TCCGTTTCAGGGAAAAAAATCTACAAACTAGGAAACTCTCCCCGCCCAAACCCAGCACACCTCGCTGTACTCCCCCAAACCACATTCCCTCTGGAACAAAAACTCCTCCTTTTTCATTTTCATTTACTAAAGTTTTTGCAAAATGAAACCTGGAGAGGCACTGAAGGAGGATGTGGCAACAGGACCCAACGATGGCATTCTGCCTACTCATCTCCAGAATATGCACCAAAAAGGGACCTCTCCAAACCCTTCTCCTTTCAGCAAAACTGACCATGTTTATGAAAAAACAAATTGATGTCAAATTCAGAACCTAAGTGCTTATTTATCCGCACTTTCTGGGGTTGCTTTCCCCCTCCACCCACCACCCCTACTCACTGCATGGGGACAGGGACTGGACGGCAAAGCCCAAGCTGATGCTGACCAGCATCGCCCACGGTGTGGGGACGGATCCATCCGTCCCATCGTCTCTTCTGGGGGAAAACCCATGCTTTCACACGGGGCAAACACCGCAGGCAGAGCAGTGTCCCCCAGCCAAGGGCAGGGCAGGGCAGGGTCCATCCTCCTGCGCAGCCCCTCACCCCTGCCCGGCCCATGGGGTGCCAGGGGACGCTGCGATTGCCCCGTCAGTCACTGTCACACCCAGACCTGTCTCGGGATGGTCCCCAAGAGCAGAGGGTGCAGCTTGTGGGCCCACAGACAGCATCACCCACGAGATATTGCTTGCAAAGGGAGAAGCTCAGGTCGAGTCTCCCTTTACAGTCATTATGGTGGAAATAAAAGAGAAAAGGCAATCCATCCACGAAGGGCTTGGCTTTGCTGTAGCACTAACGAGAGCACAAGGCACAGAGGAGGATATGAATCACCCCTTCATTAGGGCCCCCCGCCAACGGGGGAAGTTTTTGTGAGTTCAACTATTTCCCATCCATGGGTTTTTCCCCCCATCCACCTCCTCTGTGGAACGCTGAAGCAGAGCCGGCACGGGGTACCCGCTGGGATCCCCCCACGGCAGCAGCCTCCCGCCTGCATCGCTCGCAGCACCTGCATTTGAATTGCTTCCTCCTGCCTGCAGCAGAACTAAAAAAAAAAAAAAAACCAAAACAAAACCAAAACCAAAACATAAAACCCCCAAGCCCCTCTGCAAACCCTGGCCCATGGGCACCAGGGCTGCTCCCAGCCCATGGTCCATTCATCCTCCCAAACCTGCTGCCCTGGGAAGATGCTGCCCCAGACTCCTCGCCGACTGGAAGGGACCACTCAGCCACCCACATCCCGCTGGGTCCCAGCGCCGAAGCCAGCATCCCAGAGCTGCCAGTGGATCCCAGCAGGACCAAAGCTCAGCCCAAACATGGCAAATACACCTTTGCAGGGCACAAAGTGACTCCAGCTCCCAGCAAAACTCCCACGGGATCACTAGGGAGGTTGTCCCAAGGAAAGGATAGAGAACGGGAGCTTGCAAAACCACCCCACTGAAATCACAAACTCCGAGCCATGAAAAAATGTGCAACGTTCCCAGAAAGGGGGAAAAATATAATTCCCATCCTCCACTTTCTGCTCTGCAATATTGCAGGGGTTTCTCCATCAGTCTCTTAAGAGTCAGCAGAGATTTGAGAATCACCTTTGCTTCACTGATAGCTTCCAAAAAATACGGGGGGGGGGGAGAGGAGTGAAGCACATGGGGTAATTAGTGCTCCGCTGGTTTCATACAGCGACTATTCCTGTGCCAAACCAGAAGGCTCTGATTGACAAGGTCAGTTAAATAAGCAAATTGTTCATTTACATCCCCACTGCCACTTCCACAATCTGCACTGCAGCAGCAAACTCCTGCCGGGGATTTAGGGTCCCGCTACAGCCGGGAGCGGGGGCTCTCACAGGGCTGCAGGCAGATTTAATGGGGTGCCCTGGAAGGGCAGTGCCATGCCGCTAGCACCCATTTTTGGGGAGGTGCAGGTGGATAAGGGACTTGCCCAAGGTCACACAGAGCAGGAGTGGCCACCCTGGCCCTGCAAATAGGGGAAAATCCCTGGTTTTTCCTAGTGAAGAGGGTAATCACCAGCACTTCAGCCCGTGGGGAGGAAAACTCCTTCCCCCAACTAGAACTTTCTGCTAGTAACAGAGAAGCCACGGGTGTCTCGCTTTGTTGCGGATGGAGAAGAGCCTGGGGACAGCTCCTGGAGGAATACACAAGCCTTTCCCTCCGCCTATAAATAATAGATTTTGAAGATCTACTTTGCATTACTTCCAGCAACTACTCTTGCTTGTCCTAATGCTTGGTTCTGCATTTTTAGCACACAGTAAAGAACAAAATAACAGCTTACGGTGGCTTTTTGCCCCCACCAAATCCTTGCTCGCAAGAAGCAAAAGGATGTGGCAATCCAAGTTGTGATCGATGGGCTGCAGCAGCATTTAGTTAATGAAATGGAAATATCCCACCCTAGGAGGATGCCAAGACCTTCCAGGGTTTGGCTATCCCCAAAGGGTCCCAGGACCTGCTCCCCCAGGTCCCTCTTGTCCCTGCGTGGTGCTAGCTGCTCGAGGTTCCCCGATTGCAAGCGGAGGTCGGGAGGAGCGAGGCGGCAGCTCCCGCCGGCGTGAACACGGCGCGTCCCGGGCAGAGCCAGGAATAGAAGCGAGGTCTTAATTTCTGGCCTTAAGGAAGAGCCACATGACTCTAATCACGCCGCTCCATTACTTCTGTATGACAGAGCCCATGAATTTGATCATGCCTTAATAAAAAGGGAATGAACGTCTTCCATGAATCACTCTGCCTCTCCCCGCGCCGCCGGCACTGTCGTCCCGCACACAGCCGCCGCTCGCTCTGAGCCAAGAGGTGCCGATTCACAGGCCCATCGCCAGCACCCAAAATCTGGTGGCTGCAGCGCCAGCAGCCGGTAGGTCCCCCCCACCCTCCAGCAGCCCTGGGCAAGCAGGGAAAGGCAGCGGGAGCCCCACGGCGGGAGCCCATCCTGCTCCATGGGCACCAGGAGGGACACAGGGCAGCAGGTGCCCCAGGCAGGACCTGAAGCCACCGGAGGCACCCACACTGTGACCACCAACTGGGCATCTGCAAAGAGAGACCATTCCAGGACTGCCCAAACACACTGGTTTAGCCATCTGGAAATAACATACCGAGGTAGAAAACAGAAAATTCAGTATTTTAAAGACTCCCAGTGCAATAATCAGGTTTTTACAGTGAGCTCAACGTTTCACACTTGGCGGTGCCTGCAGAGATCATCTCCACCAGCAAAGACACTGACACAGGCAACCTATTTCTCCAGCCTTCTCAGCTCTGCAATGCAGCTTTCTTAAATATTGAATAAGTCTGCTGCTCTACACCACCTGCCAGTGCCAATGATGAGGTAATTTTTGCATTGACAAAGCCTAATGCGATTAATCTGGTTTGAAAGAGCAGGTTTTAGAGCCCGTCCATTCACTCGGCGAAACACACTTGCAGACAGAGCATCGGTGGCAGCTTCTTATTCACCACCAGCAGCCAGACCCCAAACAAATAACCCAAACTGCTACTCGGATGCCAAGTGAGAGATTATTTCTGCGCGTCATCACCAAACAGGAGGTTTTGAACTTGAATGGATCCAAACACCAGGCTGATGGGGTTCTCGCGCCAGCTCCAAGGCCAGCGCGGGCACGGGAGCCAATTTACGCTCCCCAGCTGGATTGTGGAACTGGGGATGGGGAGGGAAAAATAGGGTATGAGCATGCAATTGCCTGATGGGGCTCCCCAGCCCCATGCCCAGGGAGAACGGGTGTGTATTTTGGGGTGACAAGGACCCACGGGGAACGCCCCCAGAGAGCGGTGAGAAGGGCAAACGGAGAAGCCGGGACATGCTGGCAGCCCCGGGATGGGAACCGTGCCTCCGTACTTCTCAGCAGGCACACGCATTCCCAAACACCATTTTTAGCTGGAGCTCTCTCCCAGCTAGTGGTGACATTCATAGCCATCTCACGAGTCCATCAGGGCCAGATCCTGCCCTCCTCCATGCCCCAGGACCGGTGCCTGGCACCCAGGAGAGCTGTGCAAGCCGCAGGGGACCCCGGGTCCCGACTGGAGCCCTGGTGTAGACACTGCGCACCCCGTGTCGTCCGGCTCTGCCCCGAGCATCTCGCAACACCCAGGCTCTTCCTTTCCCAGGAAAAGGAGTTTGCCCAGCACAGGAGCCACGCACACCCCACAGCATCCCCTATGGCGTACGTGCGTGGGTGTAGGGGCCACAGAGTCCCTGACTGAGCAGGCAGCGGTGTGCTCTCCCCTCCAGGGTCAGGCAGGGTTTGGTACTAATGGATTTACCTGCAAAGGGGGAAAAAAATGTGTAAATAGCCCCAAAACAACTGCTGAAGCAGCTGTGTAATGCTGCAAAATAATCAGCAGACCAGACGGAGGGGCCGGAGGGCAGTCCAGCCCCGTAGGGTCCCATGCACCAAAAATCCCTCAAATCCCGACTTTCCCAGGCAGCCAGCATCCCTGCTTTGTCTCTACTCTGATGTAAATCGTTTTAGAAAGTTCGGGCAAAATTGGGCAAGCT